CCCACCCCCCAACCCCCACCCTGCAATCCCACCCCTGGAAAAGGAAAGAGAAAGGGGTTTAGAACCCTGAACTCTATTGCTAAACCCTTTTGGTAAACCCTATCCCAAACCATCCCAAACCCTAAACCCTAAACCCTAACTTTTTTATTGGCATTGCTGACAAAATGCACGGTAATCATGAATGTATACGAGCTAGAAGTCCAGTCCAATACAGTCATGTCGAGGTGTTTTTTGTGCTGGCGGCAAGACGGTAGTCTGTAATCATTGTTTTCAAGTTCCCCCTCAATGTTCTTTTTTTTTTGCACCCCAATGCTCCAACCTTTCGGGCTGTTCAAATGACCAGTACCTTCGAAAGTCGCTGTGGTCAACACGCCGCGGTAATGATGAACGAATGGACCCTACGGGATGGCCCAGATTCATCAGAGAGAGAGAGAGAGAGAGATGAATCTAATATGTGGTGAACAAAGATTGAGGAAGAGGGGGATGTTGAAGGAGGAAATGGAAAATGGAACGTAGGGGGAGGAGAGGCAGAAAGACTGGGAGGTGGAGGGTCGTTACTTGGTAGAAGTGTGAAGTGTCATGACAAGCAGAAAGAGCCATAGAGGGGAATTGTCAGGGTTTCGAAGCTAGAGTTGCCGAAAGAGCTCTGTCCTGAACGATTGCTGAGCTGGATGGCTTGCAAATTTCTGTCTGGTCTTGAGGGTGGCATACCTGCTGATGGGTGACGCCAACTGCTCACACCACCTCCGACTGTTTTGCAGCCTACCAGTAGGGCCGACCTGGCGGCGGTCGGCCGACTAGTCTGTAGAGGGCCATCCACTGATTTGTTTTCAAGTCTCAGTTCAGGGCAGTACTGCGCTTGCTGAGTACAGGCCAAATCCGCGGTGAAACTTTTGGGGATCAGGGTCAGGGGGGATTATCTGGGGGTATAGGGGGTTATGGGGGGGGTATGAGGGTGTTGGGGGGCGATATGGGGGTGTTGGGGGGGGGGTATTGGGTGGTATGGACCCCTCAATTTTCTGTTTTTGTTTTTTTTTGTTTTTTGTTTTTGCGGGGTGCCGACCAAGTGTTGACCGGTAGTTGCCGACGGCTATCGGTTGGCTGCCGCCGATGAAGGGCGCCGACTGTCGAAGGGAGTACTCTGCTGGTCTTGCAAATATTTTCAGAGCTGTTGCCAACGAGTTTATTCATCAGGGTACAGAAAAGTGAAATGGGCATCCCTGCACGCTCACCAAATGTGAAAAGGCCAGCTTGACCGGCTCAGTGCCAATTTCAAAGCCAAAGAACGAAATAAAAGAAATAAAAAAGCAATTCCACACACATGTATCATGCGAGCATGCAACAACAACGATGTTAAGTGGAATTGCGTTGCGAGTCTTGTGACCTCTTTTTTTTTTTTCCTTTTTTTTGTTTGAATTTGAAATTTAATCTGTATGTTATGATTACTTGCGCAACATGTTCCTCCCTCTCCTCTCCTCTCCTTCTTGGAGACCACTTCATGGGCCTTCCACCCATTAACCACCACACTTTATTTCTCCCTGAAGGGCCTAAACTGACTACCTCTCCCATGGTATTTTTCTGTATCTTCCTGGATCTGACGCTGCGCGGAATCGAACCGGCGATCTGGAGCTCAACAGTCGGGTCCCTTAACCATTTCAGCTATGGCACGGTGTTTTAGAAGTGGATGTGGATCCATACCAGTCGTGACATCTACCCCACCCGTTTATGGCTGCAGTACAACTTGCTCTTACACACACGACAACCCCTCAAGACCATCAAGTTGGCATCAATCCTTAAGATCATCCCGCGGGTGAGCACAATTTTAGGCCCTATGCAGCCACTGGGTCCGGGTCCAATTCCCCGGCTAGTTGCTGCGGTTATACAGCACTCTTTTGCATCTTCCTGGATCCGACAGTGCACGGAATCGAACCGACGATCGCAAGCTCAGCAGCCTGGTGCTATAACCACTGCAGACATGACACGGCGGTTTTAAAAGCGCATCCATGCCGGTTGTGATATCCACCCCACCCCTGCATGGATGCAGTGCAGCAACTCACTTTCACACACCCGACACCCCTGAAGACCATCAACCCTCGAGACCATCCCGCAGGTGAGCACACTCTTGGCCCTATGCAGCCGCTGGGGCAGGATATAATTCCCTGGCTAGTTACTGCGGTTAATACCGTACTTTTCTGTATCTTCGTGCTAGGGAAATTCTCACTGCAGAGGAGATGAACATTAACCTTATTCTCCCTCTCACTCACATTCTCTCTCCTTTTCCCCAGTTTTCTCTCTTGCGAACCCTCTAGAGATTAACATTAACCTTATTCTCCCTATACTCACCTTTACGCCTTCACCCTCTCCTCCCCTCCGCATCTTCTTGTCCTTTGTCTCCTCGTGCTGGCCCCTCCTCTCCTCCATGGCCACTGTTACCTTCTTCATCATCAGCATGATACATCAGCGAAGGGCCTCGAAAAGGCAAGGCAGAGGAGATGGAGGAGGGAGGAGGGGGGGGAGGGGGGCGGGAGGGGTCTATGGGCGCAGAGAAGAGAGAGGAGGCACTGGGAAGAGGGGGTTTTGGACAAGGGAATAAGGACTGGGAGGCGAAGAGGAGGGTGACCAGGGTGTTGGGAGAATGATGATGCAGAGATGAGGAGATATAAGAGGACGTGGAGGAAGGCAGAGGAGATGGGAGAAATGGGGTGCTATGGGGGCAGAGAAGACGGCCCTGGAGGCGGTAGGAAGAGGGGGGTGTAGACAAGGAAATAAGGAGGAGTGCGATAAAGGTGGCGAAGAGGATGGTGACAAGGGCATGGTGATGATGATGCAGGGATGAGGAGATAAAAGAGGAGGCGGGGGAACACGAGGAGTAGTAGTGATGAAGGAGGAGAATAAGGACAACGTGGACAAGGGGTTGAAGGAGGAAAGGCCAAGTGGTTAAAGAGTGAGATGGATGGTGCTGATGGTGGCGATGAACTGTTACAGAGCTATGGGGGCAGCAGAGAAGACGAGCGCGGAGGCGGTGAAACGAGGGGGGTTGCAGATAAGACCAAAAGTGATGGGGACCCAGCGCATGTTGGTGAATGGTAGATCCATAAGCTGTCGATAGGCAGACCTGAGTTTGAATCCTGATGGAACCAGATGAGTAAATAACTCTTGAATTACGGGGGCCAGTCCGTTCAGACTCCAGAGATGCCAAGTTCTCTACGAATGTTCTGGGCCAGGTTTTGTGCCTCGGGATCCAATGCAAGCATGTCCGTCCTTTTGAAATGGAAAAAGGAAAAAGCAGAACTTCTGCGTGTCTGGCTGGTTAACAATGGATGTCTGTCCCATTGTGTCTGTGAACTTGGCAGGTGTGGATTCGGCTAGTGGAAGGAGGGAGGTTCCTGAGGCTGCTGTGCTGCCCTCTGCGTCCGGTGCAAGCGAACGCAACCAATCGGGCCAAAGACAGTGGAATGAAGAGAAACGAGGAGAGGAGCAGCAGGGGAAGTGGTCAGGGGTGGGATGTGGTGCCACTGCTGACGGCGAAGGCGATGTCGACGCTGATATTGACCGTGAAAAATGGGAAGAAGCACGGAAGAGGTACAGTGCGAGGGGAGGTGTTCATGCAACGTGTCGTGACCGGCTCCCGAGCACATTAGCGACAATCCTGAGAGCAAAGCAACTGCTGGGCACAGGGCAAGAAGGCACTTCCTCCTCGCGTGGTAGGGGTGGAGAGGGTCCACCGAAAGGACCGGAGGATAGAAGTTGGAGCAAACGGGTTGTGTTGGAGGCGAAGACGTTACCTAGGCTGAGACCTCAGAGCGAGAACGACAGCGAGAGGAGGGGAACAAAGACATCGTTAGTGGCGGGACGGACATGCGAGGATCTAACCGGAGGTACAAGTGACGAAGATGATCGAGCGGGGGCACGGGAAAGGGTTGTTTCGGAGAAGCATTCGCGTAGAGGTCAGGTGTTTCTTTCCAAGACCAACGACGAGAGGACGCGAACGAGGGCAAACACAGTCCCAGAAGCTGAATGCGAGGAAGTTGCACTCTCTAGTAGGGGTGGGAATAAAAGGGTGGCCCCCGAGGACCGTTCCGGTAGAAGACAGGTGGCTCAAAGTAACGGAGAGAGCGGACGGGCAAAGGGGCGGAACGAAGATGAGCATGAGGACATCTCTGAAGCTAGCGAAAGCGACAGTCAGGAAACAAGACACAGCGACCGGAGTTTTCAGTGCGGCAACAGGGCGGAGAGGAGAGCGACAGGGGGAAATGTGGGGAGCTCGAGAGGAAGAGGGTTGGGGTTCTTGGATCGCCGTCCGACTGCACGCAGAGAGGTGGTAGGTTGTCAGGCTCTCACCCATAAACTGTCGTGCTCGTCGTGTTTTTTTTGCAATGTAGCAAGTGTTGGGTCAGACGGGTGGAATGATGTGGCAAGCTGCCATGGACCTGATTGTCAGGACATGGTTCTTTCTAAGGACGTATTCACACAATGGTTACCTTCTGCAATGCATCTGACTGACCCCCGGAGCAAATCCAGATTATCTTTCGAAAAAGCGCAAGGACGAGTACGGCCTGTTTAAACCATCATCAGTACATGGCACCAGCCAAGTTCGGAATCACACGATTGAGCCTCAGGACATGGTTCTTTCTAAGGACATATTCACACTGGTTACCTTCCGCAGTGCATCTGACTGACCACAAGCACATCCAGATTATTATCTTTCGAAAAAGTGCAAGAATGAGTACTTCATTTTATTTTATTTTATTTTTTGAAAAAGTGCAAGAATGAGTACTTCGTGTTTTTTAAGTGTGGAATTTTTTGGTACCTTTCTTTAACAGGCAGACTACCATTAAAAAAGAGAACTTTTTAATTGCTTCTAATTTTTGTGACAATTCAGGAGACCTGTGGTACATCAGGAAGTCAGGGATTGTTCTTCGCGACATCCGTTAAAATTGGAACGATACACAGAAGATTCGCATGGCTCCTGCGCAAGGAAGAGACACGTAAATTGAGAACAGAAAAAAAGAAAGAAAAAGAAAAGAAAACAAAAAAACGAAAAAGAAACGAAAAAAGGAGCAGGCCAGGGATTGTCTCAAAAAAAAAGGAGGCGCCGGCCGGGGATTGTCCTTTGACACCTGCTGAAATTCGAACAATACGGAGAAGATTAGCATGCCCCCCTGCACATTCAAGGATGACTCACAAATCGAGAAACGGTCCAAAAAAAAAAAAAAAAAAAAAAAAAAAAAAAGAAGCCGCCCAGGATGCTCGGAAACAGCAGTGGTAAGTCCTTGCCATTTTTCTATATTTAATAATTTTTATTAATTTTATTATAATTTATAACTGCTGTTAGGCCAAAAAAAGGTGCACTCCCTCTACGTCTTGATGAATGAGTCGAGAATGCAAACACCGCTAACCGGAAAAGTAATATGGACCCTGCCCCACCCTGTCTTTCTAACTGGAGAATCGAAATGAATGGGGGCATTGATTTTGTCATTTTCTTCCTTGTGTTGTAGTGGTCGGAGGAGCAGGAGGAAGACGTCCGGAATCCGGTGACGCCGGCTGCTAGTCATCCTCGTGTGCCAGCAACGACTTCCGGATGTTTGCAGGCTACTTATAGGCGGGGCGACATGCTGAAGGGGAGACTGACGTCTTCAGCGGCAGCTCGTCAGAGCAATGCAGACGTCCATAGAAAGCGAGGCCCGGGGCAGCGGAGAGTGGTAGTGAAATTCGCCGAGGAGGAGGTTGCAGCGCTAAAAGAAGGTGTACAAAGGTAATAATTGCATCGTAACTCGTCAAGTCTTGAAGCCTTGACCAACGGTCTCCAAAACCATAGGTTAAGGGTTCGGACTTCGAATCCCTTTCCTTCTGTAATGTAATTATGTTATTAATAACTTGTTATAATTAATTAATGTTCCTAACTATATCAAAACATGTTTAACAAACCCTTTCAATCAATCGATATCAATAATTGGGTGAAGGACTCGAGCGCACGGTATTGTTGTCCTCTTCTCCCTCTCTGCTTACAGTTTACCGGGCAGAGTTCAGACTTTTTTGTGTTATGAAAATGAATGTGAATCAAGATGGAACCTATCTTCATTAGAATCAATCATTCAATCATTTTTTTAAATTATTATTCTGTTTATTTTTGTGAAGTTTAATTAACACGGATATGCGTGAAGAAAGCATAGGTAGAAGATTTATTATACTGGCGGAAGAGGGATTCAAATTTCGAACCCTCAACATGTGAATTATTTATTATGATTCCGCTGTTCTAACCTACTAAACTATTCTACGTTGAACCACTTGACATTTCCCCTGGTGTTTTTTTTTTTTTTAGAGCTGCCTTCCTGGGCTTGTTGGTTTGCAAGTGGAAATCCCTTTGGTGGTTTACATCACATGTCTACTGTCAAGACGGTGACTGCGTCTTCCTGCACTGTGTGCTACCAGTAACACCTGTGTGTGAATGACTGTGTCTTCCTACACTGTGTGCTACTATTGTTAGTTACATCTGTGTGAGACTACTATCATATCCTCGTTGGGGGACAGCCATATATTTTTCTGTCACCTCACATATCTTTTTTTTCCTTCCTTTTTTTTTTTTTTTTTTTTTTTTTCAACGCAGGTCTCTAGCTGTGGCATGTTTCAATGCAGGTCTCTAGCTGCGGATGTCGATGGGATGGCTCTACTGTCCTCGAAGTCAGTTTTTTAGTTTTGTCTTACTTGTTTACGACGCGAGAAGTCTCTGTCGAATCTCCTGTTCACAGTATCATTTGCAGTTTTTGGATCTGAGGTTTCAGCCGCGGAGAGAAGGAAAAGGGACCAAGGGCGTATTCAACACTACCGTCTTCCCCCGAACCCAAGCACCCTCATTTTGGCTGTACCGGAGGAGAAATACACCTTGTATCCAGTCATTTTCAGGGTGCGTTATGTTCGGGGGAAGACGGTAGGACTTCTTCTAAGCTCTGGACGTGATTGCTGTCAGGTACGTCCAGGTCAAGCCGTAATTGCAGTCAGATTCATTTAGGAATGTACTAGTCACTTCACTGTGTGAGAATGCCCCTAAAACAGCCAAAGTTGCTTGGGGACTTCACGTCTCTTGACGTTGTCTTTTGCGGATTCGAAGTCTCTGTTCGGTTCAAAATTCGTACACTTCTTGAAGGTCCGACGTTCGAACTCTGGGAAGAAACAAAAGGCGCTCTGTTGCCAAGGGTTAAACCGCCAGTACACGGCCCCGGCCTTGCAGGGAGTTTTTGTCGCCACAAGCAAAACTCGGAGGGGCGGCACCGTGCGGGATGTCGTTGAAAAAAAAAATTGGCTGTTTGGCGTGGTGCCGGTTTCATGCTGACACCCGCGGGCCGACGTACCGAGTACTGGTGATTTAAGCTTTAGGGCTAGACTACCAGAGCGGCCAGGGACCACTTGCCCCGGCCGGGCCCCAAAAAAAAAAGAAAAAAAAAAAGGATGTGGTAAAGATTTTCGATGTGATCTGGAGGCAAAATTTGTTCAATTTATTTTTTTGCATAACATAATTTTTTCTTCGGATTTTTCTGTCCTGTTGTTGCAGATTCGGGTTAGGGAATTGGAAGGTCATTCTCAATGCCTACGAGGATGTATTTCGTGGCCGAACCGCGGTATGTCTTTCGTGTTGTTCTCTGCAGAAAAAAATTTATAATTTTTTTTCAATTTTTTTCAGTACCTTTTTGTCCCCCAGAGAAGGGGAAGAAGTTTTTTGACCGTCCTTTCAAGTTGTATTTCCGATCCCCGGCCATCTTTTCCGTGTGCTGCCACACTTTTTTTTTTTTTTTTTTTTTTTTTTTTTTTTTTTTTTTTTTTTTTTTTTTCTCGGCATACGGGACTGTGTGTGCTCTCCCCAAAAAAAAAATGGCGCCGCCGCATATTGCCGAAGGAACTACCGTCTTCACCCGACTACTACTCATGGTCATTATAGCTGTATTTGGGCCAACATGGAGTCTGTACTACTCTGTAGATGCAGCAATAATGTAATGACCGTACGATGTATCCGGGTGAAGACGGTAGTGCAGTGCCCCACCCACACTGCCCTGCCTCCCCTTGTGTCAGGTTGCTCCACGACTGGACCCTGATATGACCTGTTGGGACTTGGAACCACAGAGGATCAAATCAAATTAGTGCAGCGTCACACGTCGCGAGCTTCGAACAGGTAAGCGCATCCAACTCATGGATCTCGAACCGGTACTCCCAAAAGAAATCTTCTCTCATCATGCATCTCGAGAAAGTCGAGGATATGGCCAGATGCAACGAATGGAGAACCGGATACCAGATACAAACGAACGGTGGACGAACTGAGAAAGTGGAGTGGCGGTTGACGGAGGCCCGAATTTTCAGAAATTTGTCATGCCATTTTTAAGAAAACGCAAACGCTCAGCCGTTCATTCATTCGCTGCGTAAGCCATGCGGAAGCGCTGTGCGCCAGTGTGAGTCGCCGCCTGTCTGCATGTTTGCGAAGTGGAAAAGAAAACGAGTCTGATTGCAAAAATATGAGCGTCAAACCAAATGCACATTCGATGATAGCCGTTGCCATCCAAATAGGAGCGACATTTCATGCTGGGTCGGCCAGGGGGGGTCATTGCTTTTTTTCCCACAGGGGCCAGGCTAAGTGGGGGGTGGGGGGGGGGTTCATCTTTTTTCGGTTTGCACAAATAGGCTCAATGGGACTACTGGTTTATTGCCCACAGACTTCATCCACTACTCGTTGTTAACGGGGACCTCCCATTTTCAGCCCCTGACTAACTGTCCCAAAACTGAAATTAGGGTTTCCGGTTCAACTCTTTCCTCTCTCCCTCTTCTTTTTTTTTTTTTTTTTTTTTTTTTTTTTTTTTTTTTTTTTTTTTTTTTTTTTTTTTTTTTTTTTTTTTTTTTTTTTTTTTGCTGTTATGAGTTAGTAAAAGTTAGTATGGTGTTCACTCTATGCTGCCTCTTGATTTATACTTCTGTAACTCGTTGGTCTGCCCCCTTTCCCAGGCCCTTGGTGCACACAGTCCCACACAGTACTTGCTTGACTGGATTGTGACTGACTGGGACTGGTACCGCGGACTGCATTGGTTTGCACTGCGAACTCAATGCAGTCGCACTGCCGATGTACCGCAGTTGGGCTCACCACTTGCCCACTTGCCTCTGGCCAAACGTGAGGCAACTTCGAAAGGCCACTTCCGGACCGTCCGGAAGTCTGTGGACTTGGCCTTTTGAGTACTATAGCAGCTACAACCTTGACCTTTCGGGACTGTAGCAGCTACGACCTTGACCTTTCAGAATTCCTACAGCTACGACCTCTACAGAGCTGTGACTCCTAATCGACAGACCTACAGATCGAACCCCTACCGCTAGGCCTCGCTTTCAAACAGACCTACGACAGACGACAAACAACTACCAAAGCACAGGTTACAGGTTCAAACACTCGGGGGTCGACTCGATACTGTACATGGCCAAAGTGAGGTCTGGGGATCGAACTCTAGGGTCCGCATCTGTGACCGCAGAAAGGTTAAAACCGTTTCCATTTGGCCGTGCCCTAAACCATTTTGTTTATTTTTAAGGGTTTTTTTTTTTTTTTTCCTCCGATGCAACGTGACGTGATCTACATCCCTGATTTTTTTTTATAGATTTTTTCTCACCGGAAATCAGAATTGTTATGATCCTGGCCAATTTCGAGATACACATCGATCAGATAGTACAATGCCGTCCAATTGCAGAAAGAAATGAATGAACTTGAGAGGAGAGAGAGGATTAGAAGAAGAAGAAGAAGTAAGAAAGAAGAAGAAGATGATGTACACCAGCATAGACAAATGACAAGGCTCTTCTTCTTCGCCCAACAATCTCCTCCTTTTTATTTCCCCCTTCTCTTATTCATACAAGAAATAATAATACAATGTTGAATGGCTGATCCAGAATCAATGTCCGAGTTCCTCTTCTACTGCAGGTATCACTTGAGGTCCACCATAGCCATGGCCGCCTCTCCCACTCTTCACTCTCATAGGCCGGGGCTATGGTGGACTACTAGGCCTTGCCGAGATGCCCAAAGGACAACCCAAAGCAGCTATGGCTGGTCTATCTCAGGCCGCCATGCCCGACCCTGCCTCGAAGCTTCTTGGTGTAGCTCTCCCCAGTTGGGGACTCCGTGCTGCAGCACCCACCAAGGTGATGACGATGGCTGCCACCATAGCCAGGTAAGTACCCCTGGCGCTCCTCCCCCTTCCTGTCCTTCTTCCTCCTCCGTGTCCTTCTTCTTCCCCCAGCAGCGCTGCTCTTGGTGCTAGCGCTGCTCTTGGTGCTAGCGCTGCTCCAGCCACTGCTCCAACCAGTGTGTCGCCAAACTTGCACACCGAAAAAGAGGCTGGCCTCTTCGCCCGGCTGGGAGATATAGCGGCCGGCTTGCTTCTTCGGGTGGTGACTTCCAGGCCGCTCGACCTTCCAAGCAACCGGTACCTCCTCCCTTTCGGAGGGAAACATCATTGCAGACTCTGATATTGCCCGTACAGGCCCTAGACCCGGACTGGTTGGACTGGTATCCGCCTAGACCTAACCTACAACTACTGGGCCTCTAAAATTGCCACTTTTGTCTTCTTCTGCTCGGCCTCCAGTACCCGCACATCTACCCCTTCAGGGTGCGGTACCGGCCTACCCGCTGCAATCCCTCATTGTCACGGCCACAGGTAAGTACCAGCCCTGAGGGCCCAAGGAACGAGCAAGTGCCCTTGCGGGCCACACACACACTCAAGCCAATCAGCACTCAGACAGGCACGGCCACACCCGCTCGAGCCAACCACCACTCAGACAGTCATGGCCACACACACACTCAAGCCAACCAGCACTCAGACAGACTTGCAGCCCAGCAAGCGTGCACAAACAGATTTAGTAGCTGGCGGGAAACTCAGCAAGGCATTCAGTCTATGTGCAAAACTCAGAAATCAGTCGTGTGTTTCAGTCCATGTTAGGACGGGTCATCACAGAATAAGAAAACAGCTGAAATGGGGTTACTTGGAATTTAGTGCACACCTCAGGGTCCGGTATACTGAACGTTTGTGAACAGTACCTTGTCGACCAGTTTTTTTTTTTCCCTTTTCTTTTTTTCCCCAACCAGTTTTGTTTATAGGAGGGGGGGGGATGGGACTGGTGCCTTTTTCCGATCAGCTATGGCTGCGCCCTGATCTTGTCCTTGTCTGCTGCCAAGCAACTAGACTTCCCTTTTTCTTTTTTCTTTTTTGTAATAAGAATTCCTCCCTTGCTCAAGAAAGCTTTGAAGTTTGAATTGAAATGACCAAACAGTTGAAAATAGAAATCCATAGCTACGTCCTTGGGGACATCCGTTAAAATTGGAACGATACAGAGACGATTAGCATGGGAATATATATATGAAACTCCAACGAAACAGTTTGTCACAGCCCCTCGTTTGTTGTCCTCTTCTCTCTCTCTGCCTACGGTTTACTGGGCAGTTCTGTTTGTGACGATATATATGTATATATATATATTTGACGATATATGGCGTAGATGATCCATCTGCCAATAATTGCCCTCTCTTTATATAGTCACCTTGTTTTACTATTGGTTTTTGGTGAAGACACGTGTTCTGATTAGATCTTTCGTAATGAATAAACTGAAAAGAAAAGGATTTTGATTAAGAACTATATATATATGTATATATATATATCCATAACCACTTCTGCCAAAAAAAGAAAAGAAAAAAAAAAAACGTTTCTGCCAGGCTGTGCTCCTGGGATTCACAAGCAAGGGCCTGCCAGTGTGAAAGACTGATCCTGTACTGAATTAGAAATGGCTGAACGGTCTATGCTCCAGCAGATGTGCATTTGCCTCCTAAGACGCAGGCGTGGATTCAACTCCTCTCGTGCCCAACCTAATCTCTTGTCCTACAGGCCCAGCTTGCAAACACGATGCCTGACCTACATAGAAAACCTTCTGCGCGACGACAGATCAAACTCGAGGTACTACAGTCACAGCGATCGTATTGGCGACATGCTGGTTGGGCTGGTTCCCATGCTACCATTGAGCCCTACGGGTTCAAACCCAGTTACCCTTATGCCGAACACAAGTGGTAGGGCTGGTTCCCATGTGACCATGATGCCCAAGACAAGTGGTAGGGCTGGTTCCCATGCTACCATTGGCCCCTGCGGGCCCGTGGATAAGAGAATAAGGTCAATTGGCAGTTAGGTAGTGGGGCAGGTAGGGATACATGAGGGAGGTATATATATATATATATATAGAGAGAGAGAGAGAGAGAGAGAGAAGGGGGGGGGGGGGGGGGGGGGGGGTGAGGGCTGACGATGAACTGGACGTGCTGGTTGTATTGCTTCTTGAGGGTTGAAGAGAACAAGCAAACAAAATTCAAAAGCAACTTATGGATGGCTGTTTTGTTATATGCATGGTGTGGCGAGAACGAATACTGACCTGCGGACCGTACCTCCCGTGTTTGTTCTCTACTCTGGTGGCAGATTGACCTTAAAGATAAGTGGCGAAATATGTGGAAGACGGGAGCTGTATAACCTCCACCAGGATGACCGGAGCTGTCCTGATGAAACTCGGGCAGATCGTACACTCGCCTGCAATGTGCCAATCTGATGCGCTGCTCAGCTCATTCTCCCCTTGCAGCCCGGACAGTGTATCGTCAATGGATTTCAACATTTGATTCCTCTCTCTCTCTCTCTCTCTCTCTCTTCACAACCACTTCGACAAAGGCATGCAGGCACCTATAGTTGTTGCCTATGATGTTGCCTCAAGATGAGTTAAAGCTTGAGGTACACCATCCTGTGTACCTTTACGTTGAGGCGGGCACGCACCCCCTGAGCTCAGTCCAGTACAGTCTTCTGCGGTATTGCCGGTATGGCGAAGGACAACTGTTACAGCCTTGCTGTTTGTAACAGGGTATCTTTTTTTCCTCTTTTTTTTTTTGTGTGTGTGTGTCTGTCTGTGTAACAGGGCTTTCTGACTCTGCCTCTGTTCTGTCCTGACCCTCTTCCGTCCGGCACCTTCCCGCCCAGCTAGTCGTCAACTTCACGACCAGGTACAACGATTCTTCTCGCATTCAGACCCAAAAAACTGTTGAATGCACGACGTTGATTGCTCCTGCGAAGGATGCGAAGGATGATTGGCTGTCGCATCGGCCAAGCTCCTTGTTGGATCCCCTTCTTTGTCTTTGACTCTTTGTATTCTTAATCAGGAAAGAACAAGCCTTGGGATCCTTCATTCCTTTATTATTTCCCTTTTTTGGAAAACTTGCCCCCCAAAACTTTCGGATCATTCTGAATTTGGGTCTCATATCTTCACTGCGACCATTCTACCGTCTTCCCCCAAACATAACACCCTGAAAATGAACGTATGCAAGGGCATGTTTCCGGCCCGATACAGTCAAAATAAGGGTGTGTTGTGTTCGGGGGAAGACGCCAGTCTTCTCTGCTGTGTTCATCCGCTTCTCTGATGTTTGGCCCGATGGAGAGGGGTGTCTGTCATAGCTGTTCGTTTTTGTCTTTTTCTCTTCTGTTCATCGGATTGCAGTTGGATTCGAACCTGGGTCAGTATTTCAGCACTTCGTGGGTGTACCGACTGAGCCAGTTCTTTTCATAATTTATGCATGCCGTCGTTGAGCAGTGGACATCCTAATGAAACTTCTCTGCATGGTCGTTGACGGATCTCCCGACGCACAGGTGTTCTCCTTTCACAGGGGACATCCTAATGAAGCTTCTGTGTATCACTCGAATTTTGCCAGGCGTTAACGAAAATAGGGACAACACCTGTGCGTCTTTCGAAGGGGAGCACAGGCGTCTTTCATTCCGAAAATAGGGACAACACCTGTGCGTCTTTCGAAGGGGTGAGTTGAATAGCACGTGCGTTATGCGACGAATATAGGGTATCAACTTCCGAAAATGCCCCCCCCCCCCCCCCCCCCCCCCCCCCGAAAAAAAAAGTATGTGCCTCGTACAGGTGTCTCCAGTCTTCCCACAAACAGGACCGTCAGGGAAGACACACACACACACACAGAGTAGCCAGTCTTCCCACAAACAGGACCGTCAGGGAAGACACACACACACACACAGAGTAGCGCTGACCGCACACACACGCACACACACGCACACACACACACACACACACACACACACACACACACACACACACACACACACACAMAMASASARAGAGAGAGAGAGAGAGAGAGAGAGAGAGAGAGAGAGAGAGAGAGAGAGAGAGAGAGAGAGAGAGAGAGGGGAGGAAAACTGCAGGGCGCGCACCTGGAAACGAGCGCGACACTGCAGGCAGGCAAGCATGTGTTCTATTTCAATAGAATACCTGTCTGTTCAAATAGAACAAATCTGCGTACTATTTGAACAGAACATACGTGTGTACTATTTCAACATGCGTACTATTCAGGTTTGAAAAACAGCAAAACAACTCAGGATGTTGTTTTCTAGGACGGCAATGTACCTAGTAAAACGGCATGTAGTTTTTTTTTTTTTTTTTTTTTTTTTTGTTCCATCTTTGGTGCTTCCCTGGGGTGAAGTCCCAGCAGTGCTGAGTTAGTTCAGAATCCTAGTACAGTGGGATATGAGTGGCACGTGCCACCGGGTCTAGCAGATCCGGCACCCAGGCAAACGGGGATTTCAAGAATTTTATTAAACGTGATGTTATAGAAAAATGGGGAAACAAATCAACAAAAAGAAAAGAATAGTCTGTCTTATAAGAGTCTTGAAGTTCTTAAAACTGGCAATTCCCGCATAATCGTTTTCCCGCCCAAATGCCCCAGGTTTTCTTTTCTAGCCCAAAAAAGCAGCACTCTAGAAAGGAGGACCCGACTCCCTAGAAAGGACCCGATCCCCTCAAAAGGACCCGACCCCCTCAAAAGGACCCGACCCCCTAGAAAGGACCCGACCCCCTAGAAAGGACCCGACCCCCTAGAAAGGACCCGACCCCCTAGAAAGGATCCGACCCCCTAGAAAGCACCCAACCCCCTAGAAAGGACCTGACCCGCTAGAAAGGAGGACCCGACCCCCTAGAAAGCACCTGACCTCCTAGAAACGACCCGACCCCCTATAAAGGACCTGACCCCCTAGAAAGGAGGACCCGACCCCCTACAAAGGTTTTCTTCCTGTTGTTGACACGGTGTTTGAATAAACCTGTGGTAGGTCGGTTAGGTGTCGGATACAACTGTCACTGATGCTCGCTCGCTCCCCACACAGTATATATAGCAGATCTTTCCGGGCAGCCCAGGAATCGAACGGCTGCACATGAGAGCTGGCTTTTCTGAAGTTTTTTCTTTTTTTGTGGTGACCTGGCTGCCACACGAATCCAAAACCAAACCCTGCTTGTGGGACTTGGCCCCTGGAGCAGCAGATTAGAGCTGCGCGCCAGGAAGAAAGAAAATAAATCGGCGCGTGAGCATTTGTACTCTTTTTGGGCTGGCATCACAAGCCATTTCGGCCTGGACTGACCGGCCCTACCGATTTCCCCCAAACATAATGAGTGTGCTTTGTGACCGGATAGGACTCATAGGTTGCGTTCTCATAAAATACAGCGCATATGGGTTCTATTCGACCTGCACTTCCTTATTGTCAATACAAGACATATGTGCTCTATAATCTTATTCGAGTTTTCTTTTTTTTTTTTTGGCAACTCAAGTACAACGATTGGCAGTTTTCTATGCATTCTTGCAGTAGGTGACCCCTCCCTCCTCAAAATTCCACTTGAATTTCCAATCAAAGAGTGGAGGCCAGGGTCCTCACAGTCTCTACCCGGATTGATCTGCTGGGAGAAGTAGGTGATAGTTTTTTTTTTGCCTTTTCTTTTTTTCCTTCATGGGGGAGTGATAGTCTCATTGTGAGTGATTTTATTTTTCATTAGTTTTTGGCCTAGGTTGGTTACACATTTCTGCAGTAGCAAGGCTCAGCCTGATATTCAGGGTCCGAGATCTGTTGGCTCCTGTTTTCTTGGTGCTGTGTACAGTCTGTCGTCAGCACGGCCGTCTGGAGACCTTCAGTTCTTGTAACTGGGACCCTTTTTCAATAAGAGCGGCGAAAGGGTAAACAAGAAAGGTGCAGCGTGAGCACGGCCGTCCGGAGAAATTTGGCTGTGAAGAGTACTGGTGGTTTAAAGTTTAAAACCACCAGTATCTCTCCCAGGCGCGCTTTGGCGACGACTTTGTCCACCACTGCATTATGCTTTAGGGCTGCAGCTGCGCAGACTAAAGAGCTGCACCGGTTCATTTGGGGATTGGCATGCCGCGGAAATTGGCCATGGGAAAAAAAAAAAAAAAAAAAAAAAGAGGCTAGTTGGTACTCGAGTACGTTTCCTAGGTAGAAAATCGAAGACCGTTTCCTAGGTAGACAATCGAAGTCGCGACGGTGTGCATGTTGCACCGGTTCATTTGCGTTAAGCCACAAGTTAGGAACGCAAAGTCGCGGTGTGCATGCTGCCGGGACGATCGCTCAGGAAGTACCGGGGCACCATTTCGCTCGCTGGACGTTCATCCATGCCAAAAGGAGGGCCTTGTACGTTTCCCAGCTAGAAAATCAGAGTTGCAGTGGTGCATGCTGCCGTGAGTCTTGGGAAGTGCCTGGGCACCGTTTCGTTTCGCGACACATCCATCAATTATGCAAAACGTGTCGCATCCGAGGCCCATTTCGCCTGGATGGATGTCCAGCGAAACGGTGCCCTGGTACTTCCCGAGAGTTGTGGCGGCTTGCACCGCCGCAACTCTGATTTTCTAGCTGGGAAAGGCACTGGTGGTTTGAACCATGAAATGCAGGCGTGGAACAGCACTGCTCTGGCTGTCTCAGGGCAGGAGGTATGAATATATAGATCGGACCCTGCTGCTCCGAAGAGACTATCCTGGACAAAGGAGAGAGAAAGAGCAGTGGGCCGGTTCATTTTGGAATTGGCACGTAGGAGAAACTGGCCTCCGGGGTACCGGTGGATTGGTTCAAATGCGGAAATGAAAAGGGGGGGGGGGGAGAACTCGAGAGGAAGGGTGGGTGGGGTCTTCAGAGGGGTTCATCTGGACAACCGAGTGGCCGAATACTGTGGGTGACTGCGATCCGTCTGGTATCCCACCTCTACAACAACCTGGGCTTTTTAAAGAAAGAAAAGGGGGGGGGGGGGAACTCGAGAGCTCAACTGAACTAAGCCGGTTGCTGCTTCTTTTTTCTTTTTTCCTCCCTTTTTTTTGATGTTTTCCTCCTCTTTTTCTTTAAAAGGGCAATGGTCTTGACCGGCCCTAGGTAGGCTAGAATTGTAGTACTAAGTAACCTGGGGCAAGGTCCGAATAGCGAACAGGATTGGATTGAAGGTCTGAATCTGGACGTGTTTGCGGAGAGGTGCACAAACTCACGATAGATCTGCTGTTCCGCATCTCTGTGTCAAAGACGTCCAGATTCAGGCGGTTAATCCAATCCTCGTTGCAAGTGGGACCTCCCTTCTGCTCTAAGTGGAGTTAGATATGAGCTCTCTATTTCAACAGTCGAGGGGTGCACCAACTGAGGGCACTCTCACACGCTACCATCTTCATTATCGCTGTATTTGGCACAGCTTTGGGTCCAGATGCAGCGATAATTACCGGGCGTTCTATTCGGGTGAAGACGGTAGGCACTGTCATCCCAAAAGACAACAAAAACGTGGTAGAGGTGTAGTCGCACCGAAACTGCGTTTTCCCAAGACCTTCGTATTTTGATCACCATTTTTTTTGCGGCCTGTGGAGCTGCACGAGAGGGAATTCAAGGTACCCTTGGGAGGTTGCTGCGAATTCGCAATCTTTTCCTGCGATAACATTCAATAATTGCGACAAAATTGAAGAGGAAGATACTGGCGGGTAAACATTTTGGAAAATACACTTGGAAAAAAAAAAAAAAAAAACACGGAAAACCCCAGTTTGCAATTCCCCAAATTGTTTCGCGGTCACGACCTTGTTGTTTCCAAAATGGGGACACCGTTGTGACCGCACGCAAATAGGGCGACCACATTTTCTCAAAAATATGATACTATGGGATTGTAGTGTGAGCGTGCCCTGAGATAGGCCATTTGGTTTCTGTGTTTATTTCTCCTTTCTCTGTTATGATGTCTTTGATTGAACCGACTCTCGTCACGGA